GGTTCTGAGTTTAGGGAGAGAGGGTGGTAGTCTGGGACAGCGAGTGGGGAGAGAGGGTGGTAGTCTGGGACAGCGAGTGGGGAGAGAGAAGGGGATCGTCTGGGACAGTGAGTGGAGAGAACAGGATAGTCTGGGTCAGTGAGTGGGGAGAAAGAGGAGATAGTCTGTGTCCATGAGAGGGAGAGAGGAGGGATAGTCTGGGTCCCTGAGTGGGGGAAATGTGGGAGATAGTATGGGTCAGTGAGCGAGGTGAGGCAGGATTAATTAGGACTATAGGAATCCACATCACAGTAGAAATGGAAGACGGATAGTTAAACTGTAATGTTCCAGTAAATTAATTTGATTACAGCCTCCTCTTAATGATTTCAGTTTAAATATTGTCATTATTGTGAGTAATGGAATAAAAGCTATAAGGGATTTCAAAGCGAATATATGTCTGTGAGAGTACCCAGTACAGAATCAGTGAGCCTGTCTGTCTATTTTGCTATACATCATCTTATCCAAACACAATTTTCACAGTTCTGTTTGATGATTATGCAAATACAGAATGCATATCTGTCTCCCTGTGGTTTTGTATTTCGGGTGCAGCAATTACGATAAGGCAATGGCAGTCCAATATTTCTGGTTCTAGATTCATAATCTAAAAATTGAGTTCCCACTATGGCATGTCATATTCCTCAACCAATTGAGCAAATTGCGGGATGATTTTGAAAGCTGCTGTTTCGTTAAGATCTAGATTGCTTCACTAATGTACTTTGGAGAAAGGAACCTTCAATCCCTGCCTGTCCATGATGGGACTGTTCCAGTTTTAATTCATGGGCAGGGAGTGTGACTCACTGAGTAAACTGGCCTGTTCAGCAGTGAAAACAAGGAAGTCCATCAACTGGTTTATGCCAAGCAGAGGCAGATCAATCTGATCTTTATCAAAGCAACCAATTTCCCACATCCCAATTTGGTTTAATTTAGTACACAACTGTGCCAGTGTAAGTCAGGACTGACTGAGTCTGGTATAATGAGGCACCTTCTCAGAGTTTTGTCGCTGTATTCTAAACTAGTGATAGAAAATATTCATTGGACATCTTTTGAATCTACCCGCAATTAATTTGAGAACACTCAGTCTGTGTTGAAGCAGGGATGTTTTTGTGGTACAGTGGTAGCGTCCCTACCTCTTCGGCCTGGGTTCAAGTTCCACTTGCTTCAGAGCTGTGTAATAACATAGCTGAACAGGTTTATTAGGAAAATACCTCTGTTTAAAAGCTGTACTCTTACGCTGTTAAAATACTATTGCTGAGAGAGGAGTTGTACACTATCCAGATCGTCATTCACTGACATTCTTCTAAGTAAGAAACCTTGCCACTCATACCCAGTTTGGCCTGTTGTTGGATCAGTCCCACATCAAGAATAACTGTCCTATGCAGTAACCTGACAAACAGGGGGGGACAACAAGGTGCAGGGCTGGATGAACACAGCAGGCCAAGCAGCATCAGAGGAGCAGAAAGGCTGACGTTTCGGGCGGGGACGATGGCCTAGTGGTATTATCACTGGACTATTAATCCAGAGACCCAGATAATCCAGGTTTGAATCCTGCCACAGCGGATGGTGGAATTTGAATTCAATAAAAGTCTGGAATTAATGATGACCATGAATCCATTGCCAATTTGTTGGGGGAGAAAACCCACCTGGCTCACTAATGCCCTTTAGGGAAGGAAATTGCCATCCTTACCTGGTCTGGCCTACATGTGACTCCAAACCCACTGCAATGTGGTTGACTCCTAACTGCCCTTTGGGCAATAAATGCTGCCTAGCCAGTGATTTCCTCATTAATGCATAAAGGGGAAAACAAACTCACTGAAAGGAAATACTTGCACTTAAATAGCACTTTTCATGATCTCAGATCACCCTAAATCATTTGACAGCCAGTTAAGTTTCTTTTGAAGTACAATCACTATATTAATGTAGGAAAGACACAGTTAATTTGTGCACAGTGGACATGATAATGACCAGATGTCTGTTTTTAGAGATATTTGTTAAGGGCTATATATTGGCCAGGACATCAATGAGAATTTCTCTGCCGTTCTTTGACATAGAACCATAGGATCTTTTACATGAAACTGAGAGGGCAGATGCAGCTTTAGTTTAATATCTCATCTAAAAGAACATTACTCAATAGCTCAAAAAGGTGGTTCACTACTATCATCTCAGGGCCAATAAATACTGATCATTACCAGCAACACTCATATCCCTAATATGAATCGTAACTTAAAAAATTAAGCAAACAAATGCAAGTTTAGGTTTTAGAAAATTAATATGTAAGAATTGCTTGGCTGAATCCCAAACTCCAGATGCTGGTGTTAGCCTGTTATCACACTTTAAAACTGTGAAATATAATTTTCACTCTTTGCTCCACGTGTGCAAATTCCAGTGAATTGCATTTGGATGGAATCTTCCATTTTGATCTCTTCGGAATAGAATTTGTGAGTTATCCAAGCTGCCTTACTGAATCTACCAGGAATATGCAACTGATTCTTGCTGTCCTCTAGTCACAGTGATTTTCTGTGATTAAGGCTTACAGAATCTGAACTTTTAAAATAGGGCTATAGACAATCTATACAAATAGCTTATGGTGGACCTTTATACAACACTAGTCAGTCTCAACTGGAGCATTGTCTCCAATTCCGGGCATCACAACAGAAGGATGTGAAGACATTAGAGAAGGAACAGAAAATATTCACAAAAGTGCTTCCTGGGATGAGGATTTCAATTGAAAGGACAGATTGGAGAAGTTGGGATTGTTCTCCTTAAAGAAGAAAAGGTTTAGAGAAGAATTGTTCGAGATAAACAAATCACAATGGGTTTAAACAAAGCAAATAGGAAGCAGGTGTTTCCATTTAGGGTCAAGAACCAGAGGGCACTGATTTAAAGTAATTCATGAAAGAACGAAAGGCAACATGAAGAATTTTGTTTTAGTGCAGCAGGTAGTTAGGATTTGAAATGCACTGCCTGAGAGTGGGGTGGAGGCAAATTCAACCAAAGTATTCAAAAGGATTTTAGTCAATTACCTGAAGAGAAAAAAATTGCACAGTTATGGGGAAAAGGCAGGGGAATGGCACTAGGATAAGTTGTTTTGGCAGACAGCCAGAACGGACACAAACGGCCAAAGTAGGAACAGGAAAGCTGACATTTCGGGTTGTGACCCTTCAGAAAATTTTTGAAATGAAGGCTCATCACACAGTCTCTAATACTAACTCATGCTCTCCTTGCATCTCAAAATTGTGGCAGTCTTCATCTGTCTTCCTTCCTTCCTTGTATAATCAACAAGTTATGAAACCCCATCTGTTTGTGTCATTTATTTGTACCTTCCTAATTTATCTCACCATGTTGCCTACTCTTATCAACTGTGTTCATAATCTTATGATGAGGGAACAGACATTTCAGACTGGGGTGAAGAAGAATTTTTAATCAAAGAATTGTGAATCTTTAAAATCCTCAATCCCAGCGTGTTTTGGATGGTCTGTTGTTAAATATATTCAAGACTGGGATAGATAAATTTTGTGAAATCTAAGGAAATGATGGGTATGGGTATAGTGCAGCAAAGTAGAGCTGTCATGATCTAGTTGAATGTCAAAGAAGGTTCAAGGGGCCTTATTGGGACTCTAACTCCTATTTCTTATGTTTTTAAATCCAGAAGTGTAGAGTTTTGACCCTATGACTTGGTTTCTTGGTAAATGAAAGTCTTAGCCCTTCCTTTGTGATTCACAGATGGAAATGCATTTCCAGAATCAGACTTTGGTGAAACAGTTGATGGAGCTTCACGTTGGGATTCAGGAGCTAAAGAAGGAATATGATAGTGACCAAGATCTGTCAGCCTCGGAGAGTGATAATGAGGAGTCTGGGGATGGCCTAAATCGCTCTCACCCTGACCATAGACAGCTGGCCCAGAGGGAGAACCGCAGGAACTCAGTGCCCTGAGTAAACTTGCACTGGTAAGGTGTAGAGTGGAATAATTCATGCCTACATAACTTAATCTGTTTTTGTAACTGAGGCATTGACAAGTCCCACACGACTACTGTTGACTATGTTGAATACTGTATATTTTGTAACATTATTCTTTTGCCCTAAAGTACAACTTATTTCATCTTATATAAAAGGCACATTTGGATCTCATGGAACTTACAAAACAGCAAGATCATATCCATTATTTTTAGCAAAAGGTGAAATGCACCAAATGGTCTATTCAAACAATGTTTTGTATGAATCTTGGTTTCTTAACCCTTAAAAATAGAAGGACATTAGTGAATACAGAAAAATGCTATCCTGCTCCACCATTACCACTTGTTAAGGTTGTCAATGATGAGCTCATATAGCTTTCGTAAACTGTAAAATCACATGGAAAAACAAGTCAGTCAGCAGGAACTTACACATATCTGCTTGTGAAGCACCATCACAACTTCAGTCGTAACCTCAGAGAAGCAGGATCGATAACCATTTTTGCAGTTTCACTGGGGTTTCTGCTGGTATTATGATAGCTGGTTTGAGGAACCCTAAAGGAAATTTTACCCCAGTGATTTTTGGGAATCTTCCAAAGTGTCACATGCAGCGGTTACAGAAGTAAATAATATAAAGGAGTGGGAATCAGATTCAATATTAACTTTCAAAAAGAAATTGAACATACACTTGAAAAAGGAAAGGATTTGCAGGGTTCTGGGAAACAACTGAGGAGTGCTACTAATATGTTCATGGAATAGAATTCCTACAGTGTGGAAACAGGCCCTTTGGCCCAACAAGTCCACAGAACATCCCACCCAGACCCATTCCTGGACACTATGGGCAATTTAGCATGGCCAATCCACCTAGCCTGCACATCTTTGGACTGTGGGAGGAAACTGGAGCACCGGGAGGAAACCCACACAGACACGGGGAGAATGTGCAAACTCCACACAGACAGTTGCCTGAGGGTGGAATTGAACCCAGGTCCCTGGTGCTGTGAGGCAGCAGTGCTAACCACTGAGCCACCATGCCACCATGCCACCCCTTTTAACAGTTGGCAGCAGTGTTAGCCCTTTCAGAAAGTATAAGGGCTGAATGGCCTCCTGTTCTATGTGATTCTGAATTTTCTGACCAACAGCATGGGTAGCCAAGTCCATTGCTTCCTTCAATCTCAATGTAACAGAAACATTTTTCGCACCAATTAGCAGATATAAGAGGACTCAGTGCCTTTTGGGCAAACTGCTACTTGAATTTTCTGGAAGAATGATAAGCTCTTAAACTGTAATAAAAAAGTGTTCTTTTCATTAAATTTCATAGTGTTTGTGAGATACAAAACTTGTTTATCTGTTTTCTGCTTAGAGCTGTTCAAGTCTACATGAGGATGAAGCATTAACTAGGAGGTGAAGTGTTGCATGGCTGCAGTGCCAAACATCGAGGTGCAGGATGAAAATGAGAAATATTCTTACCCTCAGAAGAAGGTGATCCTGAAGAGACTGGAATGAGGCAGCACTTGTTTAATGGCAGCATCAGTGGTGCTTCATTCTGAAAGTACTGTCATACAAGTTCACAATCAAGGCTTGATGAACTCTCAGCAAAGTCATAGAATCATAGAATCCCTACAGTAGAGAAAGAAGCCATTCGGCCCATTGAGTCAACACTGGCACTCCTAAGTGCATTGCACCCAGACCCACACCTACCATCTCATTCCCATAACTCATATGGGGCTTTTACCATGCCTAATCACCTAGCCTGCACATCCCTGGACACTATGGGCAATTTTTAGCATGGCCAATCCACCTAACTGGCACATCTTTGGACTGTGGGAGGAAACCCCTGAGGATGCAGGGAGAACATGCAAACTCCACACAATCACCCAAGGATAGAATGAAAGCCAGGTCGCTGGCACTGTGAGGCAGTCGTGTTAACCACTGTGCTGCCCATTACTCTCATTGATGTTGCAACTATAATTATATAAATGACTAGGATAGAAAAAGACTAGTCAGCCTTAATGGTCCATGCTGGTATCCAGGCTCCATATGAGTTTCCTACTCTATTTCACCTTACCCTTAAGGTCCGTATTTCTATTCCATTTTCCTGATGTACTAATCAATGGTGTTTGGCTCAAATATTCCACATAGTGGCAAGTTCCACATTCAAATCGTTCTGAGAAACCTGTGGCCAGCAGGGATCGGGGCTGGCACATTTGCTGTTTGTCATTTACATTAACAACTTGGATATGAATATAGAAGGTATAATTTGTAAGTTTGCAGGTGAGATGAAAATTGGTGGCAGTGTTGACAGTGAGGAGGATGGTCTCAGGCCACAGTCTGATATTGATCAGCTGGTAAATTGGGCAGAGCAATGGCAAACGGAATTTAATCCTATAAGTGTGAGGTGATTTTGGGAAGTCTATTAAGGGAAGGATTTACACAATGAATGGTAGGTCTCTCGGGAGTACTGAGGAACAAAGAGACTTTGGCATAGAATATAGGAGCAAGGAAGTCAAGTTACAATTTTATAAAACATTAGTTAGGCCACAGATAGAATACTGTGCGCAGTTCTTATCGGAAGGACGTGATTGCACTGGAGAGGGTTCAAAACAGATGCACCAGGATGTTGCCTCGGATGAAAAGTCTCAGTTATGAGGAGACATTGGATAGGCTGGGTTTGTTTTCCTTGGAGCATAGGAGGCTGAAAGAGTATCTGATTGAGTTACACAACATTATGAGAGGAACAGACAGAGTAGATTGTGAGAATCCCTTCCCTGTGCAGAAGTGTCTCAGATCAGAGGGTATAAGTTCAAGGTGAAGAGCAAGTGGCTTAGAGCAGATCTGAGAAAAAGATATTTCACCCAGAGGGTGGTGGAAATATGGAACATGCCGCCTGGGGGGTAGTTGAGGCAGGTACTCTCTCAACATTGAAGAAGCATCTGGATGAGTACTTAAAATGGCAAGGCATAGTAAGCTATGGACCAAGTGCAGGTAAAAGTGATTAGTGAAGTTTGATGTTGGTTGGTATAGACATGGTGGGCCTAATGGCTTGTTTCTCTGCTGTATGATTCCATGAATCTATGAGATAAAGAACTGAATGGGAGCTGCACCTGTGTCATGTGCTGGATATAAATCCAATATTCAGACCTAGTGCTCCAGTCGCTGCTCATTGGAGTGTGTGGAGTGAAGCCCCCAAATCCAACCCTTGATTCTGAATTCCTTATTAGATGCATTAATGATTAACTCTCGTTTTGGATGCATCCATGGGTGGAAACAACTATGTACTTACCGAATTGAAACCCGTGGTAGTTTGAAAAGCCAGTTTCAAGTTTCTCCAAATGGTCTTATTGCCAGAGCTTGCTGATGCATTCCAAAATCATTTTAGTTATAATTGCAACAGTTAATACAAATGATAAATCAATGACCCCTCACCCCACCTTCTTTCTGGTTTCCCCCCTACTCAATCCATAGTGTACTCTTAAGCCTTAGACCCTGATCCCCAGAGAATAATATTTAGGAAGCATCAGATACATTTTGGAATGTGGTGGATTTTGATTTTGGATTATGCACAATTTTGAAGAAATTCAAGTTTTGAAGTTATGATGTTTAAAGTATTATTATTGATTCTGCTCTTCTGGATTTATGGAAGTACACAGGAGATATCCAGTTACAACATTAATGTTGCAAAGTGAAGGCATTAAAGCCAATTTGATTCACTCCACGTGATACCAAGAAACGGTTGGAGGCACTGGTACTGCAAAGAAATCGGGCCCTGACAACATTCCGGCAATAGTACTGAAGACTTGTACTTCAGAATTTGCCGCTCCACTAGCCAAGCTGTTCTAGTACAATTAAAACACTGGCATTTACCCGACAATGTGGAAAATTGCCTAGATATGTCCTGTACGTAAAAGACAGGACAAATCCAACCTAGCCAATTACCACCAGAGAGATTGTCCCCTGATACCCATTTCTGATACCCCGTTCAGAGTAAGGGTCATCGGACATGAAACATTAACTCTGAATTTTTTCTTCACAGATGCTGCCAGACCTGCTGAGCTTTTCCAGCAACTTCTGTTTTTGTTCCTGGCCAATTACTGCCCATCAGTCTATTCTTAATCATCAGTAAAGTGATAGAAGGTGTCATCAACAGTGTTATCAAGCAGCACCTGCTCAGCAATAACCTGCTCAGTGACACCCAGTTTGGGTTCTGCCAGGACCACTCAGCTCCTGACCTCATTACAACTTTGGGTCAAACATAGACAAAAGAGCTGTATTCCAGAGGTGAGGTGAGAGTGACAGACCTTGACATCAAGGACACATTCGACTGAGTGTGGCATCAAGGAGCCCTAGCAAAACTGGAATCAATGGATATCAGGGGGCAATCTCTCTGGTGGTTAGAGTCATACTTGACACATAGGAAGATGGTTGTGGTTGTTGGGGGTCAGTCATCTCAGCTCCAGGACATCTCTGCAGGAGTTCATCAGGGTAGTGTCCTAGGCCCAATCATTTTCAGCTGCTTCATCAATGGCTTTCCATCCATCATAAGGTCAGGGGAATGTTCGCTGATGATTGCACAATGTTGAGCACCATTCACAACTCCTCAGATACTGAAGCAGTCCGTGTCCAAATGCAACAAGAACTGGACAATTGGGCTGACAAGTGGCAAGTAACATTTACGCTACAAATGCTAGGCTATGACCATCACCAATAAGAGACAATCTAACCACCACCGCATGACTGGGAAGGGAATTCCACAGATTCACATCCCTTTGGGTGAAGAAGTTCCTACTTGACTCAGTCTTAAATCTGCTCCTCTTTGTTTTGAGGCTATGCCTTCTTATTCTAGTTTCACCTGCTTTGCAGGGCTAGTATTTGAATAATGATATCCAGAGTGGAACAGGAAGGGACAGACTATACAAACAAAGATAAAAGCAGCAAAGAGAGTCTAAGGGCAGAAAATGGTAAAAATAACAAAATTAATGCCTCTTAAATACATGTAGTATTTAGGTGAAAATAAATGAATTAACAGCACAAGTACAAGTTAATGGATTTGATCTTATAGCAATTACAGCGGTATTGTTACAAGGAGAACAGGGTATGTGACTTTTCAAAAGGACAACTAGAAGGAAAGATGGGCTAGCTTTGTTAGCTAGCTATAAGAGGGAATCAGTGCAACGGTAGGAAATGATCTTGGATTGGAAGATGTAGAATCCACATAGTTGAAGTAAGAAATAACAAAGTGAAGGAGACATGTATGGGAGTGGTCTATAGGCCCCCTAACAATAGCTATAATGTAGAATGGAGGATTAGTCAAGAGATAATGAAGGCATGTAAAAAAGGCATTACATAATCATGGGTAATCTTAATCCCTATACTGATCAGGGAAATCAAATCAAAAGAGCTAGCCATGAGGAAGAATACATAGAATATATTTGCAACTGTTTCCTGGAACAATATGTTGTGGACCAACCAGGGATCAGACTATTTTGAATCTAGTGATCTGGTGTAATGAGATGTGTTTAATAAATCATCTCAGAGTAAAAGATCCCCAAGGAAACAGTGAGCATAACATGGCAGACTTTAGCATTCAGTTTGAGAGTGAGAAGCTTGTCATAAACAACCTGCTTAACTTAAGTAAGGGTTGTTAGAAAGAAATGAGGGAACATGGAATCAAACTAGAAAGGAGTTCAGCAGTAAAGATTGTTGATGAACATTGGCAGACATTTAAGAAAGTAACCAATGGCTCTGAACAGAGATATATCCCAGTGAGAAAGAAACATTCGAGGAAGGGGATAAACCAAATTTGGTTAACCAAGGAAGGTAAGGGTAATGTCAAATCGAAAGAAACAAAAATACGACGTGGCAAAAGATTAATTGTAAGCCAAGGGATTGGGAAAGTTTTAAAAACCAACAAAAAAAAGGTGGAGAGGAAATAAACTTTGAAGAAAATAATATCAAAATGGACAGAAAGAGCTTCTTTGAGCATATAAAAAGGAAGAGAGGCACCACAATGAACATTGGTTCCTTAAATAATGAAGTGGGGAAATAATAATAGATAAACAGGAAACGGCAGAGGCATTGAATAAATACTTTACATCAAACTTCATGATGCAAGACATTGATAGCGTTCCAAACAAACTAAATGATCAAGGAGCAAAATGGGGAGAGGAAATAAATAACATAACTAACACTGGAGAAAAAAAGTACTTGAGAAACCAATGGAAACTATTGGGACTAAATGATGATATGTCTTCTGGACATGAAAGGATATTAAAGGATGTAGCTACAGAAATATTGGATTAATTTTCCAAGAATAGATTGAGGCAAAGTGGATTGGAAATCTGCCAATTTAACACCATTAATCAAAAAGGAAGGGTGACAAAAATGGATAACTAGAGTTTTATCATTTGTCATTGAGAGAATGTTAGAGTCTATAATGAAGGATGTAATAGCAGAGGATTTAGAATTCTTTGAAGAAGTAACAAACAGGATAAATAAAGGCAAACCAGCAGATGTAACATCTTTGGATTTGTACCTTTGATAAGGTCCAGTGACACTGGACCCGAAACATTAATTCTGGTTTCTCTTCACAGATGCTGCCAGTCCTGCTGAGTTTCTCCAGCAATTTCTGTTTTTGTTTCTGATTTCCAACCTCCGCAGTTATTTGGTTTTATTGAGTAGATTGGGCCTGTACTCATTGAAGTTTAGAAATATACAAGATTCTTCGGGGACTTGACAGGGCAGATGTGGAAAGGTTGTTTCTCCTTGTGGGAAAATCTAAGACAGAGGGCAAACTCTCAGAATAAAGGAATTTTAAGACAGAGATGAGGTTGAATTTCTTCTCTCAG